GGAGAATCGTAGCACTGAAAGTCAATGTCAATGAGAGCTTGCTCTCACCACCACCAACATATGTATCCAGTCTCTATCTCCCTACCTGGCGCTCGGCGCCCAGCCTATTCCCTACACAGCTACTACTAGCCTACTAATTGACAATGAAACTGTTGACGTCAGCAGCACCCTAAGTACTTGAAGATGTCGCCCATGCAGAACCATCGCCAAGACCAGGTATGTGCCCTCACATCATCATCATCATCATCCTTCTTTCTCCCCCTTGACTCGGTTCCACGTCTCCCTTTGTTGTACACCCGAAGACCACCCCTGCGCCTCACTGTAGTCCAAGCCCACCAGCTATGGTGGATGGGCTATGGCGCTGCCCTCAGCAGCGCCCTTCTTCCCTGCACGACCGCACGTGCTGCACCTCGCCTCTCAGCGGCAGCAGCAGCCCACGAGCCTTTGCTCCAGCAGCGCTGCCGCTAGCATGCGAGTGCCTGAATGAGGCTGGCTGGGTAGAGCTCTTTCCTATATGGAAAGAGCTGGCCTGATCGTGCAGCCTGGCTGGGCTGGGCCTGGGCCCAGAAGCTTCCGGTAGTCCCCAGGATGCTGCGCTTGTGTGCAGCTACTGGGCCTCTTTCGGTTGGGCCTCCCAACTGTCAGTGTATGATGCTGCGATTCTCGCCCAGGGCCTGCATTCTTTGGAAAAGCCCAGAAGGCCGTGGAAATGTCTTTGTTGCTTGGCCTGGGTTCCTCTCAACCAACTGACGCGTCGCAACTGCCTGGACCCCCAAGTATGAATTTGACAGCCGAGGGCCTCTTGTGGTATGTTAGGCCCGCCTTCACTTAGGGCGGGCACTCTTACAACAGGGGCCCCTCAGGCCTGCCGAGGACTCAGATCGTCGCACAGTAATCATCCATGCACATATCCACTCTTACAAGGAGTTTTTCATACGTCAAGGACTGGTAAGGTTTTGCGCGTTGTATCGAAATGCTCCAGCATTGCGGTGCAGATTATGGCCGACGATGTGGGATCGCATCTCTGATGCTCTAAGTGACCAGGACCAGGGCTTGGATCCCCGCTGCGATGCCCAAAATGGAGTACGCTGCTAACACAGGAATTCTGCTGATGAGATGAGAACCTGGTTGGTGGTACAGTCGCTGTGCAGCTCCACCTTCGTCAATTCATCATATCCCGAAGAGAGGGGGTAGAGGTTGATGCCCAGCAGAGGTTGATGCCCAGCATAAGAAGAGTAGAGAAGGAAGCAAAAGGAATTCATCAAGGCTATAGGAACTGGGGTATTATAATCACAGAGTGAATGAATGTGTCAAAAGAAGCTGGATGTTGTAGTAGTGTTTTATGAGACTTGCACATTGCCCTTGTAATATCTGATAATCGCAGTGTCTTTCTGATGCGTGCAATCTCACGGCAAGTGCTGACAGATTAACAATTTGCATCCACCACCAGTACCACAGTGCAAGGAAAATGAGCAATAGCGAAATGACAGAATTTCAAATTGCAAAATCACATTGAAAGCCAGAAAGTCATGAGCTGTCCAGAAAGCAGACATGCACATTTATCTCAGCAAAGGAGAACCGAAGCAGCGAACCCGATTGTCAATGGAAGCCCTCTCTCGCCACCATCGACAGTGTACCCGAAGCTCTTTCTCCTATTGGCGCCCAGCACCCGGACTACGATCTTACAGCTACTATACTAGCCTACAAAAATGACAAAGCAACTGAGCAGATGCGTGGCTGGGTAGCGTGCATGGGTGTCTAGCCAGGTGCCACCTAGTAACTGAGTTTTCCATCCCGTTTCCCCGTAAGTATGAGATTGACCTTGCCCAATTCCTTCCTTCCTTTCCGATTAAAAAATTTGGACCATTTCTCGATTTGTGTTATCCTTGCGCAGGGGCCATGCTAATCTTCTCTCTGTCGTTCCAATTTTAATGGATGTCCCAAAGGACTGACTTCCTTCCTTTTCCTCCTTGCGCTCTTTTTCATCTACGATTTGCCATGAGCAGAAAACCCAATTCCTTCTGGTATCAGCCCATCCCTGCAAGCTCATAGCACAAGTTTACAGTTGAATTGCCACTCTTTACAGATTCCTGAGTCCATTGTATTCTGGGGAGTGTCCTTCCGCTTCCTTTTCCACCAGCAAGATTTGCAACTGACAGACCCGCCCTTCCTCCCATCAAGGTGGGAAAACCCCGGAAAAGCATTGATTGCCCCTTCTCAAGTTGACTGTTTCCTCGAAAGTTGATTGAATATAGGCAATGCTGTGTTTGTTTCCATGACATTTTTGGTGTTATTCGACTTCGGTAACATGTATGATAAGATACATTACGAAGACCCAGAAAAATGATAGCAGTACTGAATTGGCTTGATTACCCTGAACCTTTGGAGCTCCAGGCTTCTCCGGGAAGCTTAGGTTCTCTCTCTGCTGTCTGGATGTGCTGTCCGACAACTCTTCCTCCCACTATAACAAGAACCCATTCTGAATCATGTTGTGAACCCGCCACTCTAGACTGAAGAAAGCCTTGCTACCTCTTCTACGTTTGCCCTGTTCGGCCGTAAGTTTGAAGATCTCTGTCTGCTGCACCCTTGCTGGTGCCTTCCTCCCTTTATTTTATTTCCGGAGTGGATTCTGGTCTGCCTGTGGTTGGTTTGTCTGGTGCCTATATGTGCCTTTTGAGTTGTGCCAATCCCTCCATCTGAGTAGGATCCCATTGAGCATTGCCAATCCGTCTTTGGGCAGCCAATTATGCTGGAATCCCCCCTTGCTTCTCTGCTCCTCGTCCAGGTTTCTTCGAGTCTGGAGTGTTCTCTCCATGTGCATCTGATTCTCCAACCTGAGTAACCTTTGTGGCCTGCCTGACACAGTGGAATTTCCCTACGATGTGCAGTCTCTCTCAGATTTCTGGTCTTGATCTAGTGTTACCCTGCACCGTTCTTCTCCCTCAGATTTCTGGTCTTGTGTCTATTGTTACCCTGCACTGCTCTTTCCAAATTGCCCACAAGACCACTTTTCTGATGACACTGTAACGGATTACCGGGGCAAAATTCCTTGGAACCATATCCTCTCTGGCTTACTGGAATAGGACGGCATGTTAATCCAGATGGTTGGAGGGGATGTTGTGGGCAATGTGGAGGGGGCGGAAAGAGTTGGTACCATAAGCCACTAACTCTAGCCCAGTATTGTGTGCCTTGGGGTTGTTCCAGTGTCAGTCAACAATAGTTGTTCCGACGACAATCTACAGCACACACATGCAAGGGTGGAAAAGGGGTTGCTTGCTGTGGGAATTATTTAAAACACACACATGGAGGGGTGGAAAGGGGTTGCTGTGGGAATTATTTAAAACACACACATGGGCACACTGCTGATATGCAGTCCTCTGCAAACACACAATCACATGCACATGCACATGCACACACATGGGCACGCTGTTCATATTCAGTGCTTTCGTTTCTTAAATGGTCGTTCTTTCTGCTTCCCTTCGCGAGTCTTCTCGTCTTCCTTGTTTCTTTTCCCTTGCTCACCTCCCACCTCTCTACTTCACAGTGTTATACCATTTGCCAGATTTCCTTCCTCTCAGCCGCATCTAAATCTGGTCGATGCTAACTAAATCTGGTGGATGCTAACCTTAGGCCCTTCTAATCGCTAAATCAGCAGCCAGACATGATCTGACCACTGATTTTGTGAGTCTGTGATCATATTGTGAGCATTCCATCGATCTTCTAAGGGAACCGCAAACCATGTTTATCTTTTTTGCACACAATCTGGTAACCTCTGTGCGCAGATCTCGGCAACTGAACACGAGGAACCTTTACTGACAAAAACAGGTCGCAGATGAACGAAAAAGTTCTGACATGCGGAGCATTTCCTTCACGAAGTTAGCAACACCGTTGTTGAAATGGAGGAGATTGTGTCTCAGAATGCCAATACTTTATGACACACTCTTGCATGTGCATATGTACATTGCTCGGCAAATACTTTATGGCACACTCTCGCATGTGCATATGTACATTGCTCCCTTGCATGAGGGCGGCCGGCCGTAAGGGCACCTATTGTAGAGAATTCAGATTTTCGTTTTGATGCTGCAATAACATCAAAACGTAAACTTTGAAGTTTGAACTTTGATGGCTAAATACATGGCAATCAAATCATAGGATGAGATCATGAAAAGCATACTACCAAAGAGAGTAGAATTAAGTTCAATTAACACCATAGATTCAAAAGCATTCAAAGTTTCTTGTTTGGAACAATCGAAACGCATCAAACTGGTGCTGGCAGACTTCGGATGTATCATGTATTCTGATTGCTTGGAGGGTTATGTCTGGACTGACTTGTCCAGATTGCTCCCGAGTTCAAGATATGTGGTTGACATGAGCAAGTCGTGCAAGTTCTGCACCTGAGAGAACAAACAGTGCAAAGGAGCAAGTCGTTTGGTAGCGTCGCGGTTGCACGGGTGCAATTCTGTGCAGGGAAGCCCACAGCACCTGTGCTCACAGTGCACACGCAGCAATCTGCACACTGTTCAGGCGCACAGGAAGTATGCAAATAATATTTCGGAGGCCTGAGATGGTCAGTCTGTCCAAGGTTCAGATCATGTGCGGTGGAGGTAAAAGGCAAGGGGAAGGGGGGATGGAAGGATAGGGAGACTTCTTTCAGTGGGAGAGAGAGAGAGAGAGAGAGAGAGAGAGAGAGAGAGAGAGAGAGAGAGAGAGAGAGAGAGAGAGTCTGTGTATTTGTGTGCATGAGAGACCGACAGACAGCCAGCCAGCAACAGAGTTCTGTATGGCCACACCTGCATCTTGACGAGGGAGACTGTATGATGATCCTTGAGCCAGACAGCCTGTGCTTGAAACCGCTGCCAGTGAGAAATTACTTTGAAGCTTGTCCAAGAGCTTTCCTTTTTCATGGAGACTTGGAGTGCTAACTTTGTTGAAATTTTGAGTTTGGTACCAGTGATCATATGTGATTACCATTATGACCTTGGTGTGATGGTTGCTACCAGATGGAGGAGAGGAGTGAAGTCAAAGCCAGTGACCAAGAAAAGGCTGGTGGGACTGTGGAGGCAGTTGTTAAGGAGCTGCTGCAAAGGTGAGGATGCTTCCGTTACATGGCCTTCTCAGATCGGTTAGTGAGGCCACATGCTTTTCACTGAACAAAATAGACTTTACGAAATGTTTTTTGGCATGTCTGGAAGTCGAGTTTTGAAACTTCATCGGACTCATTGATAGCAATTGTCACTTCCGGTGGGAACCCCATTACCCATGACCATCATTATCTTTGCCAGCTTTTTTGTTCTGATGTGGTTGTATATGTGCTGTGTTGGTCGGGGCTCAACCAGCCATTTTGTTTAAATTTCGCGCCCGGGCCGGTACGACAGAACTCGGCACGCGGTGGAAGTTGGCATCTGGAAAAAAGATGCTTGGAAGTACTGGTCGTTTGATTATCTAATGTCGATGCTGGTCAGCAAGTCCAGACTGGAAATCATATTGTGGAGAGCAGACCCTGTTTGATTTTTTTTTCGCATAAAACGTGAGACCGCAAAGAGTAAGGATGTGGACTCTTCAGTAAAAGCACTAGTCAGGGCAGTCAAACCCTTCAGGCTGGCCTCAGAAATGAGGATCAACTGGGAAAAAATGGTGGGGTGGTGGCTATCAGATGAGGAGACACCCCAAATGGCTGGACCTGAGGCAGAAATTGTGAGGGAGTGTCAATGAGGAGACGCCCCAAATGGCTGGACCTGGGAGAAACCGGAGGAACAGACGAGACAGTTGGGAATTTTGAACACCAAGGACGGCCCCGCCCCACAAATGGCACAAAATCAGTTGACCAACCAAATCAACAGGTTGGGACGATGGGAGCCCTAACCATTAACTCCTCCATTTTCCCAATGATGTGCTAATATCGCCTTCGTTTGGACCAAACCATCAAGGAACTGAACCGCAGAGCAAGAGCATACCTATGGTCAGGGGATCCCAGCAAAACAAAGTACATACCAGAGATAGCCTGGCACTACGTAACGATGAGACCATCTAAGGGGGGATTAGGGGTAATCGACCCCAAACAAGAAACCAAAGCTTTACAGATCAAGTGGATAATTAAGTTACTGACCCAACCGAGGCATGCATGGCATAAACCGGCTCTTGACAGCATCAGAGCCATAGCCCTGTGTGGACAGCCGTACGAGGATGGGGCCGTTCATACGGCTCCAACGGCCGTACGAACGGACCCCTAGGCGGTCGTACGGGCCATACGACCGGCCGCACAATCCTTTTAGGGGGCCTTCGGGGGGGGGAGG